TTATTGAAAACAAAATCATTTTGAAACTAATTCCAAATGCACCCTATAGTTTCTAGTTTTTTCATTTTTCGTGAGAATTATCATTTTTCTGTTTCCATCACAGGTACTTGCAAAAGAACAGATTGAGCAACTTACCGCTCAGGCATGGCTTTCAGAGAATAAACAGCTTGAGGATAAGGTTCGTTGCCTGGTTCTATTAGCAACTCTCAAGCTAAACTGTAGGCGTAATATCGTAAACAAATTTGAAGGCCTGCAAAGGCTTGTGGAAAAATTTCAACAGTTTTTTCAATCTGATATTATGAATAGGAGGTTCATTACTTCATCCCAATGACTTCGCTATCCCAAATCACTAACAAGATGCATTGTTGGTACCTTTGTTTTTTCCTTTTGGCAGACTGCAAAAATGAGCTTACGGACCGGGGTGGTCTGCGAGTATACACGCATGACTGTACTTGAGACGGCAGGAAAGCAAATACTAGGCGGGCTACAAGAGGTATACATATCCTTAATAAGATCTAGGAGTGCTACTACACTCGTGCATTGTTTTGAATAGAAAAGGATAAGCTAGGGAGAGAAATGTAGTGACGGTTTTATTATCATCATAAAACTGCCTTCTGATGAATCATCTAAAAACAAAACAACAGGTACCACAGAAGGGTCGTCCGCAAAAGACGGCAGATGCTTTAAGAGAGAGAGTGATACCGCTACAAAGCCTGTGTGTGGGCTTTGGCAACTTGACTGCCACTGCTGATAACATTCCTCCAGGATGTGAAGAACCAAGACTGGCTGAAGCTGCTGAAATCTTCATGAAGGCGGCTTCAAATTGTTGTGGCAGCATTTTCAGGCACTGCTGCTGTATGTGTTGCATCCAGTGTTGTTCCCACATGAACAACCAATGCGCAATTGTATTAACCCAGATATGCACTGGGCTAGCAATTTTCGGCTGCCTCAATTGTTGTGTAGACTTGTGCTGTTCCAACAGCGATGGACGATAGAAACTTGTGTATCAAATTTTATAGTCCGTAACAAATTGTTTCTACAGTGTATTAAGAGATACTTGATGAAAAGTTGAGGTTTTGTTCTACTAGTTCGTTTGTTCTCTTGGAATGAATTTGGTTCAACACGTGTATAATCTTCACTGTCAAAATAACCTACAGTTCTAAGGAATGTGAGTTTCACATGTAAGATTTTCTTCATATTGCTCGACTCTCAACTCTGACTCGTCTACTTCTTTGTCTGAGCTAACTGATTTGCGGTGGAAGGTTTCTTGAATCTTTGTCACTCCCTTCTCCACAGGACCCATTGCTTGGTTTATGGTCAACACAACATCCTTGACAACCTGCCGATGATGGCGGTGAGACAGACATATAACCGAATAACAATGCAGCATATTCAAGAGGGAAAGAACTTACATGTTGACCTCCTTTAAGAACAATGTCCTGAACGCTTTCAGTGACACTAGTTCCGGGAGCTTCAACCTTTGTTTCTTGTTTCTCAAGCACAGCTGGGGTGTCACCTTCTAACTTCACTTCTCCTTTGGTCCTTTCAGTGGTGACTTTTCCATACTCACTGGCAGGGATGTAGTGATAAGGTTCCGCCGAAAAGACAAACACATGAGCAACAGCTGCTATAGCCATCTGCCAAACCATTAGACACAAACCTGCATCATTAGGACTTCAGGAATAAAGTAAAATAACATCGGGGATCTTGCAGATTTCATCGTTAATCCTGATCATAAAAAAAAA